TTTATTTCTTGAAAAGTTAAGTTTAATTCTAGAGTGACTTTTTTCCGGTTGTTCATTCTAGATTAATCTTGAGATTTTCTGCATTCAGAGTACTTTTGTAGCATGTCAGCAACGAATAATATCAATAAATTGCTCAAGGACCATATTCAGAAGTGATAGAAATCGAAACTTACTCAAACTGCAAGAGTGACTTATCCGAAACTTCCTGACAAATACATTGAGCTGTGATGAGTGAAGAGTCTAGCTCAACCTGAAATTGAAATAAAGAATCGATTTCTGATGATTTTTGATACAAAATCTTTAAAAAAGATTTTCATACAATTTTCATATAGTTAATTCTTAGCACGATTTTTAATTTAATCAGCAATTATCAATGGTCTCAGTGGGCGGAATTTGAAAAACAAAATGGTCGGCATAAAAACATGTATTCGATATTATAATTTAAGTATCATAGAAGTAGATCAAAGTATCACCGAAAAAGAGATACTGTCAACACATTGTCCTGCTACAGTACAATATAAAGATACGTGGGAGCGTGTTTGTAAGTTCTTTAGTAAAACAGGATGATAACACCGAAGTGTTACATCCATCTACTTCTGACAGCACCGTTTCATTCGGTAAAATGAGTCAGATACTTTCTCTATTCAACCTACTACTTTCTTCCTCTTAATAAGTAAGCTATAAAACTTGACTTGTAACGAACTAATCGGTAGAAAAAATGAATAAATTATCAGAAGAAAATTATGATTTCAGATTTAACAACTACTCTTACTGCTAATGAAAATTCAGTGAAATTACAAAAAAAAAAAAAAAATTAAGCAAAAATGCAAAGGATTGATGAACCATACCAAATTCAATCTTAAAATATAAAAAAGAACGAAATTTAAGCAGAATGAAAACATTAACATATTTTCGTTTCTGCGTAACAGTTTTAGGGATTCTCCTCAAAGCGATTTTCAACCTCTTGAAAATTACGTCAATCTTTGATATGATAAAACATTCTGTATTGTAAAATCCAATCAATAAATATTTCATTTAAATTAAAGGTCGAAAATTAAAGCTTGAAATCTAACTTAAAAAATGTTGAAGTTTTAAAAAAAACAGATGTAATGTTCGCTTACGAAGATTAATCCGTGAAATTGAAAAAAATCTGTAAAAATTCTTGTTTGTCGGAAGTGTTAAATCGTAATTTCAAAAAAGTATAAAAATGCAATCGTTTCGAACTGGTAATAAAATTTCCCAATTAGTATTATTTTCCTTCCTTTGCTTCTAGTCTTACGCAGTGTTCATGCAAGTGATTTATCAAAAATGTGCAGAAATGACAAATTATGGACGCCACTAGCAATGGCAGATTTTCTTGCGAATAATTCATACTATCAGCGAAATAATATTGTCAAATGCTACGGTGTGTTTATAACTTTTGTAACGATCATTAAGTGCTCATAAAATTATTATTATCACATTTCTAAATAATTGCATATCAAATTGTCTACATTTTTTGTTTTGATTTGTGTTTTTTAGATCTCCAGTTTTGAGCAAAGAAATTTGATTCATCTTTAACAAATATCATCATTTACGCAATTTTAATGACTAAATATTACGTTAAAATTTCTTCTTGGATTTACAGTTAAGCATATTGTAAATTCTTGCCTTTTTCGTTCAAACACTTTTGTAAAGCCTTTGCTGATAGGAAGGAATAAGGCTAATTACACGAATCATGGAGCTCGGACTCTTTTTTCACTTATTTGAATTTCAACGGGTTATTTCTTCCTCATTCTTTTTGAGAGCTATCCTTCAATGGAAATTAAGAAATGCCAATGTCTGTTTGTAACACTGATAAAAAAATATATTACACAATGATAATCTGCACGATAAGCTAGTCTTCACATTAAAAATTAATATAAATCACTTGTTTAAACTAAGGAATGTGTTTCTACTGTAATGGACATTGTCAGATAATGTCGTCTCAGATATCAGATATCATCTGTGCCTCAAACCTCTCAACTCAGCGAGAGTATTAATTTCTTGTTTAATTTCTATGATATTCCCTCTTGAGAGTAAACTGATAAAATATATTGCAGTATTAATACAACGTACGTTGCACTTTATAACTTATAAAAAAGTTATTATTAAATGATAATGTCATTATTAATAAACGGTCACATTCCTTAGATATTCAATGTAACACACGTTAAAAAGTTATTGGATTGGAGTGGGACGAGCAGATGGAAGAAAATGGTTAAATGTTATTTTTTTTATTTTTTGATTCACTCTATAACTCTGGAAATCGTTGTTATGACATGGTTTTTTTCATCATATACGTTTGAATTTTAAAAATCAGTTTGTAGACAAAATTGAAAACAGAACTGAAATTTTTTATATCACTGATCCAAACAGGTTGAAGTGACATATTGATATAGAATTAAAGAAAATCTCTGTCTTGATCAGTTTTAATTCTTTAAATAGCATAATTAGGACTTGTTAATGATCGCGATATATGTTAAAGACAATTTAAAAGCGCTTGTCACTTTCTAAATTATAGTTTTACGTTCTAAATTATAGCTTAAAATGAAGTATCTTATTTTGTAAATTATAGCCTTGAATGAACTTTTTACTAATCTTTTTCCGAGCAAAATTTTTTTAGAAAGCAATATTTTAAAAAATCATATTTTGTACTGCAAACATAGCTTGAAATGAAGTATCTTACTTTGCAAACAGAGATATCTGTAACTGCAGAAAATCTTATTCAGTACAGAAGCATACAAGAAATATACAAATATCGGAGAAATATTTCGTTTGTATTAAGAATGAATGGTTTATTTTCTTTGTGAAATGTTGAAAAATGGGTAAAAGAGCAATGTGAGAATACTGAAAAGTTTTCCTCTCTTTAGCTTAAAATGTATTTATTTTGAAAAGATTTAATTGTTGAAGAAAAATGGGAATTATTTTCAATCGACGATTCAGAGAAATGCATGGCAGTTTATGTTATCACAGGTGTACTTATTTATATTAAAATGTGTTAATATGATTCGCCCTGTTACTTCTCTCTATTTTACTATTCTTCTTCTGAGTGTACCAAATTTTGATAGCTTCAGTTAAAGATTCAAGAAAAAATGTATAATGACGACTTTAAGCATTTTGAACCTTTAACTGTTAAATTTCCAATTTCAAATTCAATAAAAGTAAAAGCAAGTTTCGAAATCACATCCAATGACAAGTCCAAGTTGGCCAAAGTTCTTGAAGGTCTCCCCCAATGAAACAATTCTCACAAATGCAAATAGACATAATATTGCACCTTGACCTTGTCATTTATTAATAAATGATCTAAAAGGAATCATTATATTCAAATTTAAAACATCACCTAACACTTGTCGAAGTGAAAATTTTCTTTTAGAAGCATGAACTGATTGAGCCGTCGATCCAAGTCTTCTTCCATATTAGTAAGAGCTACAAATTCAGATATGTACTGGAAAGCATTATTATAAATCATTCATCAAGAATTCAAAAAAAACTCTATTTCTGAAATTATTTGTGAAACTATCTGAAATATGATGGAAAAGGCAATTAGAATTGGGTAAGGCCACCATTTGAATGAGTTCCTTCAACAACCGTAATAAATCAAGACCGTACAATGAATGTTCCTGAAAATCAAAAAAGCCACTCATGTTCACAAAATTTTGCATTCTTTTAATGAGCTAAATAAATATTCCTAATCCTGAAGAACTTGCTGAAATGGAATTTCATTTCCTGTTTCTACTTTGTTTAGCTTCAATAGGAAACAAAAATTAGAAGAACGAATGTGAAAATGATTAAGGTGATTTAAAAACTTAAATTTAATTAATTTTCACTGAGTTAACAAAGTTACTCCTTACCTTCTTCAAATAAACGGTTTTTAGAAATAACGAAGGAAAAACGAATCAGTTGAAAATTGTTATTGCTATTCATTGCATAATTGCTGAAAGAATATCAGAGATGTTGAAAGAATGTATAATTACTTCTCACTCAAATGGTTTATAAAAATCATATGAAATATCAACCGTACAACTAAATAATACTGCAAAAGACATATAATCTATAGGATGAAAACATAATGTCATATTGATCGCATTTTTAATTTTCTGAAAGTGATAGGAAAGAAATTTTTTTTTTTTTCTGAAAGAGGAGAAACATTTTGCATGTATTTTTAATAAGAAAATGATATTTTTTTTATATCAAAAAGAGTTGATTTAATCAATGATAAACAATGGAAATAACTAGCATAGAATAACTTTTATTACAAATTCACACACATAAAATGCAAGAAAATTATGGAATATGGAAAAGTAAACGATATATGGTGAAAGGTAAGTGAATACTGACAAAATGGAATTATTGCTTCACATGTTCTCTATGTTATTAATCAGAAAGATGCTGTTGATTCATTATTTTATTCACTATCACTGGAAAATCTGAATGACAGAGAGATACCCGAAAATTTCTCAGCGGGTTATTTTTCTCAGTTATATCCATCGCAGAATAAACATTGTTTACTGGGAAATATTTCTTTCTCATTATTTTTTGTATATCAGGTAAGAGTAACAGGTAGAGCCAGAATTTGATATCACCAACACAACAGTATATCAGAACTGAAATGATAGAATCGGGACTGAATTTACAATTTGTTGCTTGCCATTTCGTCAATTTTCAAGGTGTTCTACAAGAAGTGATTTTTTGTAATGCACAATATATAATTTTAGTAATATCACATTATCAGTTCAAGCAGTACAACCTTTTCTGATATCGAAAAATCTCTGCTTGATTCAGCACTGTTAAAATTAACATCCATCTATCTAATATGAATATTAAAATAACTTTTTTCCGATTAACCATTATTTTATGGTTTGCATGGTGTCAACCATCATTCTTTGAACAATTCGAATAAAAACTGGCAAATCAATATCGCGTCATTTTTTACAGCAACTTTATGTAGCGGAAAATATTCGTATCATATAGACCGTTTTAGTGTTAGGAGCAAAACAGAAGAGAAAATTGTACGGTCGAATGCTGCGGTGAATATAATGACTCATATGCACTCAGGCGTACCGTCTGTAATGTTTGTGCACAAAATGCCGTTGCAGTTTGTAGTCTAACATCAAAGAAATAAGATTCTAAATTAAATTTTCCGTATTCTAAAATGACAGTTTGCCAAGTAGTATGTATTGTCACGACTAGTCAAAATGAGATTTCAGTAATATTGGAAATGGAATTTTTAAATAATTATTATCTCTTCTTGCACCATGCTATCTTCAAAAAATCGAAAAATGTTTAAAAATTTCTTCCAAATGACTTTTACTGAATTATCCACGTTCAAGTCGGTCATCGTTATGATCAAATAATTATGTTGGCTACATATAGAGCCTTGATCTTCAAGAGTTAAAAAGTGCTTTATATTCTTATTCTTTGCTTCCTTAAAATTTTCAGGAAGAAAACATAGCTAAGAACAATTACGGATGCTTGAGATTGACAATTGGAATCTTAGCATTATAATTGTCAGACGCATTATATCTGGCATCAAATTAAAATAACAAAAACTTTCATTCGATGAGAAAAAAAAAACCTACATCGATTAGAAATTCCACATGTTCCATTTGCACAGAATGTTTGTGCTTTTGCTAAGCTAAATCTCTCAACTTTACGGCTGCCTTTTTCGTTCTGTTACTCGAAATGTGAATTAAAAGCTCTCAAAAATGAATCATATCTGTGGAATACCTGCTATTGTTGATAGAATTGTTCTTGATAGAAGATTGAACAAACAGAAATTCGGTTTTTTGATTTATGAACAAGCTTCCTACATTAACTATCAACAGATCTATTGTTAGCTATTTTTCTACGATAGCACTTCCTAATAACTTCTTATAATATCTTTAAAAACTTTACGTATTATTTTTGCTTTTAACGATGACTCCATTTTTGAATTTTGAATAGATCAGTTGGTCCGTTTCACTTTTTTTTACTACTCATATGTGAAAGATAAAACTGGAAATGATGTTCAACATTATTTACATTTCATTGTGGAAGATGATAGAAATGTCCATCAATTCCTTTTTTTTTATACTAAACTTCTATGCTTCGAGAACTAAACCAATAATGACCTTTTGCGGATGTCTTCATTTGGACTATTCCTACTTTTCTATTAAATCCAATTTCGCACTATTGTCTTAGTGTGATGAATGACTTCTTCCCTAAAACAATCCAATTTCATTTAACGACCCCGATGCTTAAATTTCATTGCACGAGTCTGTGTTAACTTTATTTCAAGAACCTTATGTTTAATTTTCATTTTATAATTTGATAAGATAATTCTGCCCAAAGAAGAAAACCAGAGAACTGCCAAATTTTATTGATATGAAACAAGGGCGTTTCAGGAAATCCTCTACTATCAAATGACAGTCACAGCTTCTTTCTGTGGTTTAGTTTTGTGACAGTAAAATATTGCTGTTAGCACTACTGATCCTTACAAATGTAGGGACAAATGTCGATTCTTAAAATTTCTTTATTTAAAGTGGACTAAATAAATTTTTCATAGATATTTCTGTGTGAAAATAATAGTTACTTTATATTACGTGATGTGAGTTAATGGGTTCTTAGAGAAAAGATTAATTTCCAAAATAAAATGACCGAGTTCTCTCTCAAGAACCTTCTCACTCTCTATCCATAAATTTTTACTTTGTTATAAAAGCTTGACTAAATTTACATAAATTAGAAATTAATACTCTTATAGGGAATACTATTACAGTTCACCACAAATTATCACAATGCTTAAAACCCTGAAAACAAATGTTAAGCAACAATTTCAATCCCTAAAAAAGCAAACAAAAGTATCATTAAAACCGAATCTAAATAATTTAATTTTTAGAATGAGAAATTCCAAAATAACTGCATAAATGTAATAAAAGTGTATGCAGGAATAACAACAAGCAGCGTAACTAAAGTACAGCACAAGATTTCTTTTCCTGAAATGGATTGTGATTATCGATAGGTCCACTGACGAGCATATCATGCTGCTTCTCCCGTTCGCAATATTCTATTAAACTGTAAAAGATAAAAAATATAAACTTGGAATCAATGCCAAAATGTCTCATTAGCGTCAAATAACATAACGCAATATCATTTAAGTTACCATTAACTTGGTAAATTTAAGTTGGAATGAAGAGAAATTTATTAATTAAACAAAGGCTCACTCTTTTGAGACCTCTGACACTTTCTTCCGTGAAACTTGTGCTTCGATACGAAGCTGTTCGGTCTGTACTCGAACCTGATCCATTGAATCGGGTAAACTTGAATGTACAAAATTTCAGCAAAGTGTGTAACCGGTTCAATTCGGATCAAATGCAGAAAATCTCAGCTTTCAATCTGCTAATATAGTTTATAAACAACTACAGAACTGTTATGCAAATTTCTAAATATAACGTTTTGCGTAAACAAACGTAAGAATCGGAAGCGTACTATAAAAAATTAATAAACAAATAGTATGAAAAAAACATTGGAAAAAATGATACGCAGAATAATAGTTTTTTCTGGAATTCTGTTTTTCTGGAATAATAGCAAGTGTAGGAATCAATTCATGAAAGAGGCGGTAATCTCGTCGCATTATTACCTTGACAACTAAGTAATGGAATGCTGACTAATGCAGGAGGCATTCTTTTTCCACTCTGCAAATTACAAATTTTGATATGCAGATTTTGTTCATTTCATATCCATACGTGAAATATCAATTGCAGATAGCAAACAATTGCACGAAAATAGCACCAGCACTGCTCATTAAATTAAAGACTTTCGCTCTTGAAGTAGTTGTTAATAATTCCTTTAGTCAAGCATATATTTGCCTTACAATCGATCATTTGAAAGACAGAGATTCAGACTAGAACTGCTCTGTAAATCGTTCACTGCATATCGCAGAGTTATTATTATGTCATGCGGTTGATGACAATGATTCAATTGGGTGCATTTATTAGGAGAAATCCATGTTGACATGCTTTGAAAGAGCAATAGTTGAAGATTGTAGAACGAGAATGGAGTTCTGTCCTAAAAACTTCAAGGAAGCCAAGAGAAACCGTCCAGCGTCACCTATTTCCAGTTGCACGGTCATGTGCTCTCGATAACTCGACTAGTAAATCATTATAATGATTCGATGAAGTAGGAAATGATAATCGATAATGTGCTGTAATTGTAATTACAAAGAATATTATTCAAATCCTCCATTTTTTCAACTTGAATAAGCAATAACACGTTATGTTGAACAGTACGATGGGAATCAATAATCATACTTATATTAAACTTTACTCTTGAAAGAAAAGGAGAAGGATTCCGTAGAATTGGCTAAGTATCTATCTTCTACTGAATGAGGGAGTAAAAAGTTAGAGAGATTACCTATAAGCAGCAACTGCTTCACGGCATTCAGGCTCTTGGCAAAGAATGGTTGAAATTCTGAAATCCATTAACACATAATCGAGTGTGCGTGGGATGTTCTGACCAATTAAAATTATAATGAGATTAGGTAATAAGTGAAGTGATATAAGCACTGAAGTAGAAGACACAAGCTGAAAATTGCAACAGTAACAGAGCCGTTGATGGCGTTGGCAGATGAAGTGAACTGAGCAGGGAAGGAAATTCAGAGTTGTGAACGAGCAGTGTTAGTAATATGATGAAGGCTCGAATTAGCAACAGCAACAGCAGTAGAGCCAATCAATTCCCTCCAAGGATATCGATGGGACAGACAAGATGACGCCCTCATCAAACGATCTAAGGTTTCATATAAATTCGTCTGGCCTAAACACCGCGATTATCCTCACTGAAAGGGTCCGTTTTTTCGCCTCAGCGACGGAGAAATTTGACCCTAGCGATGGAACTGAACCGCTTATGGCGTATATAAAAACTAACATTTTTCCGACAATGACGGACCAAAGCCCCGCTTTCTGCAAAACGAGAATGCTACAATATCACCGCCAGAAAACTATCCTCGATATCATGAGTAATGAATAATTCTGAATGGTAAAAGCTGCGGAACCGACTTATCATTATTAGTAAACTCTTCATCATTCTTTATTTTTTTCCATTATATATATATTTTGAACTTACGATAAAAATGTTGGGGGCAACGCAACAGGTTTATTATAAATACAACTGTATTATAAATGTGAATTATCTTATTCCAATATTAAATATGATAAATTCATAAAATACGCAATATAAACACAAACAGTTTTTTATTTACAGAAAGACAATCAGATAGCAAACCGACTTCATTTTGTTTAAGCCAACGAGCTATACAGCCCGCAATCTACTAAAAAATTAAATACCTGAATATGGATCTTTTCATTGTTCTACAACTGTTCAGTATTTTAAATAGAAAAGAATTACAAACAAAAAACTATGTCTCCAACAAACATTTTAAAAAACCAATTTTACAAAAATTAAGCATGAACATGTATTGAGCATAGAAACAAAACGTGAATACCAGTGAAAACAAGATAAAGTGATTAACTTAATTAAAACGTAATAGCAAAGAATGAAAATATTCATAGATACAAATTGGAGTAGAAAGTATATATAAGTATATATCAAGGCAGTCGTTAAATAAATAGAACTAAAATGTATATAATATTATATCCCTAAGTTTACTTTAACAATGATCTGATGCTGAGACTTTAAACAAACTTAAACGAGATGTACTCAGTGAACGGCGCCTGTTACTCGAAACTGTATTACGAACTGGTTTTAGACCAATTCGCAGAATTGTCGATTTTGAAGTGTCTGTTTTCGGTCTTTCCTCGTTAGACCAATGATCGACTGTCTGCAGTATTTGTGACATTGCATGAGTGGTATCTGCAAGCACAAATTTATTGCTATTTAATTCACTAATGACTTCCACGTTGCTTAGTGAATAAAACTGAAAATTTATTTTCTAAATAAAATCAATGACAACATCTAAATCTCTACCACATTAAATTATTAAGCAAAATATTTAAATGAATATGATATATACAATTACCAGTTGGTTCAATCGTAGCCATGAAAGTACGTAATCGATAGCCTCCAAGCCAAAAAAGAAATAGAACTATGAGGAAAAGCAAAGTTATTGTTTTCACAACAATAAAGTGCAGCGGAGAATCACGAAGAAATTCATTTAAAAAAATATTGAAATGACGTCCAAATACACCGAGAGAAGTGAATATAAAATTTGACAGGACCTCGCAAATCACATCCAAGAGTGAAATTTCATATATAGGATTAACATATAGATCCTGAAAACCCGCATACCTGGACTAAGTAAACTAGAAACAGTAAGCAATATAAGTTAACTAAGTTCTCTCCTCTTTGGAACTGATGAATTTGTAGTACAATCGCCCTACTTTTACCATTTTTATAATCAATTTTCTGCATTTTTTCTTGCATTTCCATTCCCAAAATGTCTGCTTTCTCTACTCTTTATCCAACATACGTCATATAAGCGAACCGGGGCTCAATATTTACACTACCATCCTAATCACCTTTTTCGTTTCACATCAATGTATGACGGAATTTAGAAACCAACACCTTGTAATGCTGTTCACATTCGTCTTCTCCTTTGAAGACAAATAATCCCGATACCATATTGATAGCAGTGGAGAAGAAATTATTTGCTTTACATTTTTCAGCAACTGACTTTTCAGCACGTGACATCCTAGCTGCAATATTCGCCTGCAAAAAGTTTCAGATTTAGTCAGTAATAGAAAAAGCACCATACATGAATAAGACACTTTAAAAGAAAGATTCCAACACTTTTAAATATTTCGTACCTGCTACAAAATTATTCTACACAGTTTAATATGATTACCAATACAAATTCTTCCTTGGATTGTTTTTATCAATTACAATAATCGAAAACACAATATCTCACTACTCACCAATTCAAACAAACAGTTCAGCTTATGAAGTGAAGAGCAGAAATGATTATTTTTTGGAAGCTACAGCACGCTAACATTCTCAGAAAAGCAGGAATTAATTCTAGAAAGAGACATATCACAAAACTTTTTGTAATCCTCATATAAAATCATATTATCACCTGATATTTCCTATGAAAAGTGTTAAACATTGATATAATAAATGATATGAAGAAAAAAAGCCACATAAAAGAACGCATCGAAAAATGACTACGATATAGAACCATTATAGCTGGTATCAACAGCACAGCATTCAGCAAAGGTAAAAAAGTTACAACCATATCGAAGATGCGCTTGACAGATGATATATCTTCGTAGTGCTGCTACAAAGAGATACAAAATCTTTTTCATTTTATCATTAAAAATACACGTAGGTTATTATTTGCATATTTGTTTCGTTAAAATAGATATATGCAAATCTTTATTACCATTTTTTTTTCTATTTTATCAACAGTATTTCAGATTTTATTTGCAAATACAATTTTCTTTAATTTCGTCAAAAAAAAAAAAAAAAAAAAAAAAACGTTGGCAACAGTCCAGTTTGAAAAATGTATAATTCCAAACAAACGCAACTAAAAAATAGTGTGATAAAAACTTGCGAAGAACAAGATCATAATCAAAAAGAGCTAAGAAAGTTACCAGAACAATCATTCTTTCCAGAACTTCACGAACTTGCTCGCGCACGGTGATTGTTTCATCCTTTGAATTCAAATACTTCTTCAAAACAGCCAAACTGTCGCCATCTAAATATACCTCTACAATTCGATCAACGCGCTTTGTCTGTAAAATCAGGAATCATACTAAAACGGTCTCGACTGATCTTTTTAATCAGATCCGTTATTTCATAGCAACCCTAAATAATAAAGTGTATATGTGAAATAAATCCTCTAGTAAAAAATAAAATCTATTTGTTGAAACAAGTGGACCACGCAGAACCAGGATTTGAAGGATTTGTCAAAATCATTCTACCTTATCAATGTCAACATCCATACGATGTAAGAAATTCCGTACAATATGTTTCAGCGTCGAATCCTGAATATAATGACCTTCAACATGACTTTCAACTGAAATTTCTTGAACAGTCTTCTAAAAGATTACCAAAATCAAAATAAAGAAGCGAAAACAAAAATATCCCAAGTATCAAAAATATCCCGAAACTTCGTTAGTCGTCAAGGACTAATTTTTCTAACTAGACAGAAAAAACAGTTGAATTTCTGAGTCGATTTCGTAATATGCTTAGCAAGGGTGAGGTGACAATTCAGAGTAATAAAACTGTTAAATCAAGTTCCAACACTTCTATTTATAATACAAAGTTTAAGATCCAAACTTGATCAAAAGGAACGTTTTGTCATTAAAAGGAGAAACAAATATCCTTAAAATGAAGAAGGTTAAGCAAATACCCAGTACCTAAGTAAATCACTCTCATACAGTTACGTTACTTTCGAGCATAGATGTTCTGGTATCCACTCAATTTTCCTTAGCGCTTTATGTTTCAATATCGGTGCGGATGAGAACAGTCTAAGGCTGAGAAGAAAGAAAATAAAAAAATATTAGCTATGCCTGTTTCCAGTGTTTCTAAAACAATCGGATGAGTTTAACTGTCTCTGCTTTCTGGAAAGTAAAATAACCGGAAGTAGTGTTTTTTGATCATTTATGCTTACTGATAACCAGGTAATGTTAAATCTGACATACTTTGCTACCTTTCACACATCCCTTCAAATTCGCTTGACAGACGGCCAACTGATCAAGAGTGTTTTTGGTGCAGAATGAAGATGGTGAAAAAGGATCATTCGGATCAAGCCAATTTTCTCGATCAACGTGTAAATCTAAATCCATATTTTCACCAGTTGAACCAAAAAGCAGATCCAAATAAATCAGGATGAGTAGCACGGTCATATTACTACCTGGAAAATGAAAAACAAGTGATGATGACCCTTAAATGACTGAACAAAGGACTCTACAAGTACATATAGTTGAAGAAGGTACAAGAAGCACGTGCACCCCAGAAGTACGTGAAACCTGGACCGCGCCTTCACTTGTCCCGTCCCGTTCGTTTCAGGAAAGACACTACTATCGCAGCTCTCTATCAAGTATGGCTTCGAAGATTCACATAGTAATGGCAGTGAGAGGGACGTGCTTGTTGCTTCGATGATAAAAGTGGCGTCATTGCAGTAAAGAGTGGGGAGTGAGTGACTGCCGAAGGCACTAAGAGAACTCTGTAGAATGTCAGGCAGATGTGCCAGCGCAAGTCACTTTAGGTAGGTCCACTGCGAAGAATGTTCCACTCTAATGCGAACTGGTAAGCGGTCACTTGTTATTCCGAAGCGCAGATGTTCGTTGCTTCGAAATAAGTTTTCCAATACTTGTTAGAATCAATATGTGAAGTAAAAAGCAGCTGTTATACTGGTAACATTGAAGAGTAAGTGAATTTTAATATCTATTTTTAATAAATGAGTGAGGACAGCATAGTTAACCGTTTTATGATTGCTTACTAGTCAGTGGAATGAGGAAGCCTGGTATCTTTATGTTTCACAGTAACAGTCATTGGTGAAAGAATGTTTTTTTTTTTTTTTTTTTTTTTTTTTTTGTGGATCTTCTGGACCTTAGGAGGAAGTAATCTTGACATCCTCACGAATTTGCTACTGAATATCATCTAAGTTTCTAAAATTAATGGTATGCTCTCTATAGCTTATCTAATGGTAGAAACACAACCAATTCCTTCTTGCATTTCCCAATCGTATTTACATTTTCATGGTGCTGCTTTCTTAGCTCTTCAAAAGTAATGATAAAGAAGCATTTCGATTTTCTCATAACGCATCATTTTCCCTGTGTGACACTATTAGAAGGAGCAATCTGCGAGAAAAAGAATTTTATAAGGTTGCATGAATTGCTCCAATTGCTTTCTTTGTTTTGTTTCACACTCATTTCAGTACTAATTAAAGTGATTCCTTCAATGTCAAACAATACCGTTTCATTGTTTCGACTAATTTGTTTATTTAGTGTTGATTCATGTTTTACTGAAGCTAATAATCGGTCGCATCTTGAATTACCTGTATCTAATTTGTTTTTGAATTAAATGAGAATTCTCCATTGATAGCTCTGGAATTGAGTTTTGGTTAAATGTTTTTCAAACCACCATTGCTATTCTTAATGAGTGACGTGCGTGTTACAAAAATGGAGTAAATTTAGTACTTGTACAATATAACATTCACAAAAGGCTTTCTGCAACAGTGATGAAGTGAGGAGGAATTTCGAATTTTTGCCTGTATTTGTAAAAGTTATTTAAAATTATTGATTTTAGACTTCAATAACACTTAATATTTCCATGTCTGCTCATGTTCTGCGGTGTACAATATAAAGTGCGGTGGAATAGAGATGACAACTTGGACCGAATAAAACGTCCCCATGCAGAATATATCTCCGGAATACATTTCACTAAATGGAAGAATATATTTCATGTCACAAATGCAGTGAATGAGAGTGATGATAAAGTCATTTATCATGAATATAACATATGGATTAATAGAAATTACATCTTTTAGTGCCAGAAGATTTCATTTCACTTATTTTCTGTCGCTTATTATTTATCTAGAAATTTGTCAATGTTAGCTTGAATCTCTGTTTGGATTGCGATCTTTGGCTTTTCTTTGAATGATGTACGAAGGCAGAAAACTATTAGCTTTATGTATTATTACTCCTGCGACATCTACAGCAATGTATTCGGATGAGGCATGTTATGCAAACTAATAAAAAGACACCGAAAACAGCAAGGCAAATGACTGTGGCCATGATTGTGGTGAAACCCGTCAAAAAACGATCTTCAGATGGCACATTACTCCATTCATTCTTTTCCTGAAAATGTTAAAGAGATTTTGTTAATGTAAAATAAGATAGTTGAAGAAAATCTGAGGTTTAATTGAGCACTGTAGATTCCATCATCATTCCTCGAGGCAAGATGAGATGTGCAAATGTAGGACTTCTCTCATATGACGAAATTTTCCAACGAAATTATACTTCTACACTCCTTTTTAATAGCTTATTGTTGAAAATGATCCGCCTCATACTCTTATTATTCTGATGAATTAATTACTGGGAATACTCTTCATTTCAGCACTATAGCACACATCAAATCAGATAACAAAAATGCTCTAATTTCATGTGTCAAGAATTTAAATTTGGGAAAAAAGATCACGAATATGCATCTTTTTTCCTACCAGAATCTTGTCGAATAATGTTTCTGGATGTTTTGAAACAAAAAGCAGTTATTATTTCAATAATGAACCAATTAAAGTATCAATTAATTTAAATATTTAGCAGCACTTAATGCGCCTTTTAAAATTAGCAAGAAATTTTCTGTGCTACACAAACTATTACTGCAGTAATAAACAAGTAAAGTTACTTCCTTTTCATTATCCTTCTAGTGTTGACAGTAGCATGAATGACAAAATTACTAGGTACTTACAGCCTTAAAATTATGTTCTAATTCATCAAAAATAATGAGGAATTTTCTGAGCTTTACTACCCATTATTTATTTCTAAATATTCTGCAAATGTCATGGACACGGTAGCTGGTGAATGCTTGTTTACTGACTTCGGCGTGGCGTATCCATTATGGTTTTTAAACTGCAAGCTAACATCTACCCTATAAGATCCAAGAACCACTGACATGAAGAGGATATTTTTTGATTTGAAATAGACACAGTGTTCAGGAACGCACAAGTCTCACCAGATACTTTGTAACTAAACTTCCTGTTGTCTTAATATCTAAGATTCAAAGTTTTTGACGTGGAGCTATACTGCAATTAAACATTTTCAAAAATGAATGATACCTTGACAGGGCAGAGCCATCGCTGCATCATCAGATCACTAATATGCTTCATAGAACAAGGTACATGACATTGTGCTTGACACAGATGCTCAGTGTCAAAGGTGTGTATCATATCTTGTGGGTAATGCTGATACATCCTTCGGGTAGCTTCGTTATAACTCATTAATAAGTAATATACAAAAGTTGAGTCCAAAATGACTTTGCGAACAAACTCTGCAAGTCTCTTGATTCATTAACGGTGTTCTTAGCACAAACATTTAGGCAGACTTCTAGTATAATAGTTAGTATTACTTTTATTGAATTACTTTTTTCAAAATTTAAAGCTGCAAACCAGGCTCAGATTTTGAGGAGAAAAATTGTTAGTTTGAAACTTACAGATTCCAAAATTAAACTCTTCAGAAAGGAAAATAGCAAAACAACATAAAATTCAAATTGTTAAAGATCATCATTGCATGGCAATTTCACTAGAGATGCATAGAAACGATAAACTTACCTTCTTTCCTGTATCGGCATTAATTAAATTATATTCACAACACTTTAAGCTATCGGAGTTTTCCTGTATAACGATACTTCGGTTAAAGCGCAATCGCTACTAAATCTCTAAAAATTTCTTTATAAAACTTAAAGACAAATTTTATTTTACGACAGTCATTTCTCTTATAAAAAACGCAAAAGAAAAAACAGTGCATCTCAAATGTAAAATACTAGCAAAAATAGCGTTAAAATTACTAATTAATGGGAAGATTCAGATGTAAAATTTACAAACTGAGAAGCACATGTATTCTGTAGGATGTAAAATTTCCTAGTCTTATAATTCTTTCATATGATTAGGATTGGCTGATCTCTCCAGTCTCATATTCATAACGGTAGTTAAACCTATAAGATATCAAATAGCTTTCATTAAGAGGGATTCTTGCGAGTTATCTAAGACGACATAATTGGAACTATTTTTAGCGATATGTCGTCCAATCAAAAATTATTTTCAGCACAGAAAACCATTTCGCCTTTTTTTTCCAAAATACTTATTGATCGATTAAGACAAACGTTTTTATTGTCCTTCGAGGTATCATCGTGAGAAAGGAAAGCTCGGGTCTATTAATTAATCATCTATCAGGTTTCAAAACTAGTGCATACTCAAACAAAGTGATTCATTTAAAAGAAAACTTGAAATAACTGAGATAATCGCTGCTAAAAATTAACTGAAGAATAAATTTGGTTAATTGAAAATTGGAATATTCAGTGTCAACGAAAGAAGATAAATGAAAATTATTTTAAAAAGAGAACTGTAACAGCTATTATCCAAAAAATCTCTTTGCCATCTTATCAAGTATACTCTAACTATAAAAGCCACTGATTTCAAGTTACTAATTTTTTTGTAAACCAAAGATTAATCCAGCATGACAATCTCGAATTCCATCTAAGCAATATGACGCGATTTGAAGTAGACGTAATAAAAGGTAAATAACGAAGTGAGATGAGAAAAAGAAAATAAGCGCTCTGTTAATATTTCCAATTACAAATTTAGGCAGCAAAATGCATCTTTATAGTTGGAATGTATTTATTGCAATGGGAAACAACCGGCCAATCCGCCAATCCAATGCATCACTATTTGGCTCCAGTGGGCATTTAATTTCCTTCTGAAAATATGAATTTATAGTACGTTATATTTTCAGTGGTTTATGTAAAAGAGTGACAGTTTTTGCAGATTAATAATCAGTAAGTAACGGAAAAGAGCAAAAGATTGAGCGAATCCAAGCATAAAAGGTTTTTTTTACATGCAAAGAAAAGAAGAAGCTATATCCGATACTTTGTAGTACGAGAGATCGCGGTATTTCTACATCAGTATCTATAAATACTGGGCATAAAAAAAAAAAAATGAATTTTAATTTTTATTTCTTTTTAGGCATTATATGTTTAATAGAGCTAAAAAAGCTTCAAAGGAGAATTCAAGAAGGAAGTCGAAGAATAAAGTAACAGAGCTTTTGGCTTTTTGTGAGTGTCGCAAATTTTGCAGCAGCTGAAAGCGACTTCTGTTGGCATTACTAAATATCATACGTTTGGTGATTAC